TTTTGTGGTAGGACTTACCAAAACCCCATCATAGGAACCCGATTCACTTGTCAGAAATGCAAACATGGCACACAGGTAAGGGTGGTTTAGCTGCAACCGCAGAGTACTGCACATCTCTCTCCACAATGAGTTCTTTTCGTCTGTGTAGCCTGATAATGCCATGGCCACAACATTGAGATTTAGATCACCTGCACAAGCCGAAACAAAGACGACCATGGTAAGTCAATATTTTAAACCAACAAATCCCACTTTGTATTGAATAAAATAAAGTCCTGTATTTTCCCCAAATACATTACTCATTAACTACTCAAAAACAATTCGCACTTACCCTGAAGCAAATCTTACTCTGCAAGGTAAAACAGAGCCACTTTGAGGACCAGGACGTATATATATCAGGGATCCCCAACATGACACCAACTAATGGGCTTCCTTAAGCCCATTTGCTTCTTATTATCTCTTCCCCAAAGCAAACAGCCAGCCCTGGCTTTTTTTTCACTTTCCTGGAGCCGGATGTACTTCACACAAGCACACCCACTTAGACTCCATTGGTGGGAAACCTATTTATCATTTCATATCAGAATGTTTTGTGGAATAACAGAAATGTGCAAGGAGTTCTTATCACTGATTTTTTATACATAAATCCAATGGCAATCGATTCATTCATTTCTTAATTAGCTGCATTCTATATTGGTTCCAATATACAATTAAATTGGGCTTTTTAAAGCAATAATGGAATTATGAGAAATTGGGGATATTCTGTTAGGAGGTTAGCTTTCTGTTGTGATGACAACCAGATTTACCCCTATATTTATTTATAGAAAACACTTTTGTCGTCGGTTGAATTACAAGAAACTGTGAAGAGGTTAAGATTTGATTAATAATTATTAGAAAATACAGTTATTAGAACACAAAGCCTTGACAGGCTGAAAAAACTAGCCTGGTCCCTAAATTTCTGTGCTGTCGATGCCTGACATAGGCACGTGCCCCCCCCCACACGCACACTCACAAAAACTAACAAACAGGTAATACCCAATCAGAACAAGGCACCTTTCCCCGAAGAAGCTCCTTTGTTCAGTATCTGTATTGCTCGCCGTATGTCCAAGTTGAACAGTGCCACGGCAGCAGCTCGCTCCCAATCTCCTTCTTGCTCCAAAGAGTTTAGGAAAGGCTCCACATCAACATCTGTGCCCTTCTTGATCCAGCCACAAAGCTGCAAAGCCAATGATCTCTCCTCACTTAGATACTGAATAATATCTGCCTGCCTGTCCGACCCACTCCGGTTATGCCTGAGGTTCTCTGTTGTTCCTAAAGAAGAATTGTTTGCACACACAGAACAATGCAAACTTTTAACATACAAAAACACAGAGAGCTAAAATATTGTAAAATACACATATTGCACACTCTTCTTCACTGTATTCACAAATTGCCTCTTGCTTTTTTGTGCTATTAGTAAACAAATTCTATAGCAAAAAATGGCCATAACATTAATATCATAGAATGTTAGAGTTGGAAGGGACCTTGCAGGTCATCTAGTCCAACCCCCTGCACTCTGCAGGAGCATAGCTGAAAGACAGCCCTACAGCATACCCGAAAGATGGTCGTCCAGCCTCTGCTTGAAAATGTCCAGTGAAGGAGCATCCACCACCACCCGAGGCAGACTCTTACTGCCACTGCTCAACCACTCTTACAGTTAGGAAGTTTTTCCTGATATTTAGCCGGTAACGACTCCCTTGTAATTTCCACCCATTAGATCTAGTCTTGCAATCCGGAGCAAGAGAGAATAGATCTGCTCCATCTTCTGCATGACAGCCCTTCAAATACTTGAAGACTGCAATCATGTCCCCTCTAAGTCTTCTCTTTCCCAGGCTAAACATACCCAACTCTTTCAGCCTTTCCTCATAAGACTTGGATTCAAACCCTCTCACCATCCTGGTTGCCCTCTTCTGGACACGCTCAAGCTTGTCAACATCCTTCCTAAAATGTGGTGCCCAAAACTGGACGCAGTACTCCAGGTGAGGCCTGACCATAGCAGAATAGAGCGGAACTACCACCTCTCGTGATCTGGACACAATGCTTCTGTTAATGCATCCTAAGATTGCATTAGCTTTCTTCACAGCCACATTGCACTGCAGGCTCATGTTTAGCTTGTGATCAACCAGAACACCCAGATCCCTTTCACATGTGCTGCTGTCAAGGCAAGTCCCTCCCATTCTATATACGTGCCTTTGATTTTTCTGTACCTAATTGGAGGACTTTGCACTTCTCTCTATTGAAATTCATTTTATTTGTCTCAGCCCACTGTTCTAGCCTATCTAGATCATTTTGAATCCTGACTCTGTCTTCTTCAGAAATAGCAATCCCACCCAGCTTCATGTCATCTGGACCTCATAGATCTATTCCATCAGTGGAGGCACCCTCCTATGGCAGGAGGAGCCTTCCCCTGATACAAGCTGCTGGGAGTCCAGACCATAGGACACAATATCCTTTTAAACTCCTTTTAAACACGACATGGAAACATGTTTGCTATTCACAAAGTGGATTTCCAGCTACTAAAAACTGTTGTGGCATTTCTTGTGGCCACATGATGTTTGTTTGTTTGTTTTTTAAAAAAGAAGAAGCTCATTCTCTGGAGGGGGGAACACATTAAAACCAATAACAGAGGTGACTTATTTTTCCATCTCTCCTTATATATAATTGAATAGTGGGTGCCAAAGTTCTAATTCTAAAATGCACTCCCTTAGTGTATGGCTGATGGCACTGCTCCTCAGCATATATCGCCACCAATCAGAAGGCAAAGCCCGGGTCCCGCCCACACCACAACTGCTGCGACAACCTGGTCTTTTGCATATGGAAGCTGATTGGACTTCACTCCATTCCACACCTCAAACTCCCCCCCCCCCCGCAAGGCAGTTGGAATTTTCAGTTGCATAACATACCTCATAGGGGAGAGGAGAATGGGTAACAATGGTTACCACTCTCCAGGTGAGGGCTACAGATAACTCAAACATACAAATGCTCTTCAGGTAGCAGTGATCAGTCCCTCAGAAGAAAACAGTGGACTCTGTCATTAAACCCTGCTGAGGTCACCACAGGAAACTGACACTGTTTGCCCAAAGCCAGAGCACTCTCCCAGAGCCTCTTTCTAGATCCCGTTGTATTTATTTCCGCAACGGGCATTATTTCTAGTCTTATAATAATTCTCTTAGGCTGGCCAGGAAATCTCCTCCACTCATTTTTAAAAAGTTCTGATCACAGTCTCAGGTAGAGGTCTTTCATATCAACTGCTACCTGATCCCTTTAAATGAAAATGCCAGGGATTGAACCTGAGACCTTTGGCATATAAAGCCAATGTTCTGCCACTGAGCCACAGCTTGAGAAATTATTACTAAATGATCAGTCAGAGTTTACTTACCCATAGATGCCTTCACAATGGATTTGATGCCAGCATACACTAAGGAACCCTTGTTTCCTGTGAATTTCTGATCCATATCCTCTGTATACTGCTTCATAAGTATTGTCAGATATAGGAAACCTACTAAACATTAATAGCATTTAAGGGGAGGAGGGGGAGGCATTGTGCTGCTGTGAATGATACTGTATGTACTTGGAGATATTTCTGCTGGAGATAAAAGAGCATGTTCACAATGAACTTCTGGTTAATATCTGTTATAAGATCTGCTGGTGAAAATTGTGCTGGTTGAGTAATAAGAACATGGAGTCAGATCCAAGGGTTCCATTCCACTAACTGTGGGCATTCTTCTGGCACAAGAAGCATTCCACTGCTATCATACACCTCACTCGCTGAACGAAGCCTTCACTTTTAGCAAGACAGAACCTTTGGGTACTCACTACTCCTTGCCCAAGACCAATGGAAGTCTTTCATCTCGTTGGTTCTTTGCCTCCTCCTTGTCCCTTGGAGCACTAGGTTACCAACCCTCCCACCAGTCTTTCCTTTTTTTTCTGAACACCAGAAATAAACACTTCAAGGCAATTAAGGGAAAGGAACATCCTTTCACTTGCCATCAGAGTACAAATGTTGCCTAACAAATGTATCATTTTGCAACATCTAGATGGCACACTATTTTAATAATTTCGTATGCAGCCAAGAGGCTCAGGACAGTGTATATCATTCTCCCACCTCCCTTTGACACTTATAACATCCCTGTGAAGCTGAGAGAAACAGAGTAACTGGCCCACAGTCATCCAGCAAGTGGGGATCTGAACCTGGGTCTTCCAGGTGCTAGTCTGACATGATAACCATGACACCACACTGGCTTTTAAAGGATATAGTGCAGAGTGTACCAGAGTGACTTCAGCTGCAGGTCTTCATTTCCTGCTAGAATATGGTTTCTCCAGATCTGTTCCGTATCAAGGCCATACCTGGATAGAGCCCTTAGACGCATTTTGGTGGCAATATCTTTCTCGAGGGAACTGGCCTTTCCTTCTTCAGTGCACTCATATAAATGCCTCCCGCATGCCCACATTAAAGAGGTAACTGGACTCCACGCAAGAGAGATCCTTTCAAACACAGTGAAGTCTGACATGGTCCTGTTTGGAGTCACCACTACCATTCGATTTTGATTTGTGGGATGCCACGCAAAAGAAGCAATATAGTGTTCACAAGGCTGTACACTTCTTTCGATGATTGTAGGTTCAGTTTCATCTATCGGGGTGGGAGTGTGCTGCATGTCATAGAGTTTGATGATATTACTATCTCTGGTCAAAGTTGCTAGCAATCCAGTCCTTGTAGGACACCATGCCACTTTTGTTAAGGGTTTTGGTTGTTCTGTTAGGGTCAAAACAGGCTTTTCAAACTTTCTAAGATCCCATATGGCAACTTGACCTTCATAGAAGGAAGCCACACGATCGTGGAAAAATGGATCAACACTGACTCCTTGAACAGCCTTGGTATTCACAAACATTTTTTGGCTTATATTCCTAAGGTCAAAGATTGCCAGGTTCCGGTGCATTCCAGCTAAAAGAAGTTTCTGGTCCCGTGGAAGCCAACAAAGAGAAAGACAAGCATCATTCTGCCCCAATTCATAAAGCGGCTTTGTCACAACCAGCCCTGTTTCAGTGTCTCCAGAGGCAAGCCTCACTTTTTCAGTTGCCACTGGAATTTCTGGAGTGTATTTGCTACTGATGTCCCAGATTAGTACTGAGAAATCAGCCCGATGTTTATCAAGACCAGCAGCAAGCCAATAGCCATCCAGTGGATTCCATGCTAAGGTGTTGCACTGCCGAGCATGTTTTGGAACAAATGCTTTCCCTATCAACTCCTTGGACTTTGAATTGTGATCTTGGCCAAGACTAGTAAGGACAACTCGGCCATTGGCCTGTCCAACTGCCAGAAGACACTCAGGATCGTACTTCGGGTACCAAGCCACACATTTCATATACGGGGTATCAGAATTAATGGACAACAGAGTGGCTGTAGTTTCTTCTGATAAACGCATTGATCCTGCTTTGAGTTCAGAACTTACAGCAGATTCGATGTGGTAGAGGCTCAGCTCAGAGTCACACACAACAAATCTATTAACATGATGTGGAGCCCACAGAATGTCAGGTTTGGAGCCACTCATGGCTGCTCTTACTAGTTGGTATAAAAGAGTTTAAAAGGATGTTTGAAAACTTGCACCACGTTCATTTGTTAGACACTGTTTAAAAGAAAATACAGAGCATCATACAGTAATAAAGCAATTCTAAACTAGAATCTATAATTCTTTCGATATTCTGACTTTTCCTTTCTCCAAATCCTTTAGGAAATTAAAGTTTTCATAATTTACTTTTGCAAATACTATTTTCTGTAGCTTCTTCCTGATATTTGACAAAGATTATTTATGCATAGGAAGAACAAAATATCACCACTGACACAGTCACTGTGGTTCCCAAACGCCTTTACATCTTTTATCAAATAAAAATCATATGTGCATATTAAGGATCCCCCCCCCCCCAATGATAGCTAAAAGTGTGCTGGAACATACCCAGTCACTGGAGTCATACAACATCACAACACATTGCCGATATGAGAGGACTACAGAGCCATGAGCCATCTATTCACTACAGCAGATCTGGAATAATTCTTAGTTCTAGAATAAATGCAAGGTATGGTATTTATCAGAGTCCCCAGAGCACAGAGACTAGCACCCACCTTCACTTTGTATGGGGCACCCAGGCAAGTCAGAGGTCGTGTGTCAAAGAATTGTGTTTGCGTGCCCCACCTCTCCTAGATTCAGAGGCCTCACTGAGAGAAAGCTTTACTTACCCAAGGCTGCCCAAAATCCCAGAGATACCTGCCACGTTCATCTTAAAGGCCAATAAGCACTTTACGCAACACTTATGTATGCATGCTGGCACTTGCTATAGTGAACAACACAAAACATAAAAAGAACACTAGTTATTTTTTGGCAATACAATACCCCCTGGTTCCATGCATGTTTTCGTTTACTCTCTAGCTTAGCCAGGCCGATAGAAGCTAGCCTCCATACCAGGTTATAAAAGCATCTCTCCACCCAGCCCCTGGACACCGTGCCATCTAAATTCTCCAACAGGGACTTCCGAGGCGAGTGACATTTATAACCTTCCCTCCACGGAAAACGACGACTCCTGCTCCTTCACCATCCCGCAAACCATCGAAGCTTAAACGACACGCGGAGAAGACTCACCCCCACGGCCCCTCCGACACGGAGATTCCCGGAACCGAGCGCGGGGGGGGGGGAAGAGGCGCAAGAATAATTTTCAAAAGGGTCCACTCTGTGTAATATCTACTTCCGCCTTCAGGGAAGGAAGAGCAAAAAAAACACCAACCCCCGCCAACACCACTTCCGGTGCGAGAGAGCAATACTTCCGGCGGGGAGGGATGATGTGGAAACAGATTTGTGCCCCCTTGTGTGGCTTCTGGTGGACGCGCGCACTTTTTAGGTTTGCAGCCTTGGGGAGAAGCCGGTGGTGCACAGGGTGGGTGTCAGCGGCCGGTCCCCGATGCTCTCTTACTGTAACTGTTTAGTGGTTTCCGGAGGAGGCGCGTTTACCGAGTCAGACCACTGTTCCAGTTTTAGCCCTTTAGATTCACGTGTGTATCAAGGAGGCACTGGCTGTAATTCTGCGCATATGTTAGTGGTGGACATCTTTTTTTTAGTTGTTAAAAATGCACAAATATATTGTGAGGCTGGAGATTCTGTCTCAGTAGTAGTAGAATCTTCCTCCAGGAATTTCCCAAGCCGGAGAGTTGCGTTGCCAACCTCCAGGGGACACCAGGAGGTCTCTCATTATTATAGTTAATCTCCATATGACCAAGATCGGTTCCCCAGAGAAAATGGCTGCTTTGGAAGGTGGATTCTGGCCTTATATCCTGCTGAGGTCCCTCCCCAAGCTCCATCCCCAAAATCTCCTACCATGTTTCCCCGAAAATAAGACACTGTCTTATATTTATTTTTTTTCAAGAAGACACACTAGGGCTTATACCACAAATGCATAGAAATCCTGCTAGGGCTTATTTTTGGGGTAGGTCTTATTTTCGGGGAAACAGGGTAGTATTTCCTAACTCATATCTGGCAACTCTGGCTAGGGAAATCCACCTGTATTAGCAGGCTTCTATGTGCATCAATTGCTAAATCAAGAGTCCCAGGTGTGAACGCTTTCAGTGGGAGGTTCATTTGAATGTGCATCACCATCCAGAATATGGATGGGAATGTGCATCTTGTTAAAAGCACTCCATTGTAGATAGATGGTATCTGCACTTATGGACATATAAAGCTGCCTCTTACTGAATCAGACAATTGGGCCGTAATGGTTAGTACTGTCCAGGGCTGTAGCCAGAAAATTTTGGGTGGTGGGGCATTGGGAAATCCGGGAGGGGGGGGGAAGAGAGGGAAAGATCTGCAGCCAAAGTTAGCTGTGGAAGCAGGAAGAAGACATCCCCCCCCACCTCTCCAGCTGTTGGTGAGGTGTGGGGTCCCTGTGTTTTCTTCCTGCTTCCACAGCCGACTTCGCAGCAGCTCATGCGGGTTCTAGAGGGTTGAAAATGTGTGACTGAGAAGAATAGGAAGTGATGGGGCAGGGCTAATTTTCTGGAGGCATCGTCCCCAAATGCCCCGCCATGGCTACAGGCCTGGTGCTGTCTACTCAGACTGGCAGTGGCTTTCCGGGGTCTCAGGTAGAGGTCTTTCCCATCACCTGCTATCTTATCATTTCGATTGGAAATGCTGGGGATTGAACCTGAGACCTTCATGCCAAGCTGATGCTCCACCACTGATCCATGGCAAATAACGAAAGAAACATTCCTTTGGAAGTGTTTCTATGCCTACAGATCCAGAAGATTCAGCAAGTTACATACATGGATCTCTAGCTGAATCAGGATGAATGTTTCTGTCTTTCAGGCAGCTTTCTTCTGTAACTGCCTCTCTAAGCAGCTGACAAACAGACCAACAAAAATGAGACTGGTGTATGTTGGAAGGCATGGAAGAAATATTGTCCCCTTAGGCATTTAAAATGTTAAAATCAACACTTTCATAAACTGTGAAGCAGATGAGGTACCACTGGGGCCCACAAGGTGGCGCTCAAATCTCTTATTTTTGTAAATGGTAAATTTATATCCCCCACCTTAGTCAAACCGTCAATAAAGAGGACAGTTTTGACACAATTTATAGAAACATTTCATTCTTAGTGTCTAAAGAAAAGAATTTCTAGGGTTTAGGTCTATTGTGATACAGAAGAACCCTCTGTTGCCTAATCTAGGGGGCTGGCTGTGGTCACAGAGTATGTCCTTCATCTTAATTAAATCGTGCCTGAGGACAGGGTTTGCCCTGCCATTTGAAAACAGCTTCTGGGGCTGAGTAATTGAAGGGATTCTGTTCTTGGTCCTGTTGATAGAGAAATCCTTCTTTTATTCATCTGGGGCTCAGTAAATCCTTCTTTTATTCATCTGGGGCTCAGTAACACCAAGGTGGCCATGTGAAGTTTATATAGGGCTGGTATCTGGATTGATAAAATAGGGGAGTCCTTGGATTAAGTTCTTTGTAAATTCATACATTCCATCTCTGGAATTCCAAACTCCATAGAGGGGGTGGGACAATCAGCTCTTGAAGCTTGGGCTTGATTGAAGGCTTTCCCCCTTTAAGCTAAAATTATACACTTCAACACCCAAGAGGGCTACCTTGGCTTAGTGAGAGAGGATTCTTATGTTTCCCACTGGGATAAACTTGTTGAGCAACAAGTACAGCTCCTCGGTCTTTCCTTGGACTCTATTCAGCTATGAGAACTATTAAGAAATGTCTGTTTAAGTATGATCATAACAGTACAATCTGTAGAACACAACGTGTTTGTTCTACTCAGTTTGCTGGCATTCTTCCACTTGGAGAGTTTCCCAATTGCTGCTAATATTTGACTGGGCCTTGGTATAGACATGTCTTTATGCTGGCATGTCTTAATGCCTTACCATCTAAAAGTTTCAAAGGGAGGTATCTTAAGATACCATACTCAGAGTATGCAACTGTGGTGCAGGTAGTATGGACTCTGAATCAAATGACTTTGGGCTGTAATTACTTTTCTGAGCCTAGAAATCTTTTAATTCTGTCTTTGTGCCAAAACATAGACCACATGGAGACATTACCTCTTCTATTAGAATATAATAGCAGACCTATCGCTCTTTTGGCTGTGAAATTTTATGTGTTTGTGATAGACTTTTGCAGCCATTCAAATGGGGTCTAGCTTTTTATATTTTAGTAATCTGCTTAGAACTAATAAGAAGCAGTATGAAGGATGGATGGATGGATGGATGGATGGATAGAGATAGATAGATAGATAGATAGATAGATAGATAGAGAGAGAGAGAGAGAGAGAGAGAGAGAGAGAGAGAGAGAGATATTCTGGGGAAATGGATATCTTGCATATGGGGAACCTGGAGTTAGTTTTCTTCCATTCTTCAAAGATAGAACAGCCAGTATCGAGTAGAGTAATGTGTTAGAATCTCAGACTAGGATGCCAGAGACCTAAGTGCAAATTCCCTACTTCGACATGAAGCTCAAATTTTGGAAATCTGGAAGCAAAGCGTAAGACTTAACATGACACATTAAATAATACAAAAATGACACAGGAGGATCCTATTTACAGTAACAGGCAGTATGAACTATACACAGTTGTATAGACCACAGTCCCTAACCATTTACCCAAGTATCTTTTAGCACCATTTTGTTACAGTGCAGCCCTATTACCTGCATAGAAAAGCCTTTTTGAATAATTCAGTTTTGCATCGTTGGTGAAATGCCAGGAAAGTGGGAGCCTTCCTGACCTCATCAGGTAGGCCATTCCATGGTGTGAGGGGGATGGACAGAGAATGCACATGTATGGACAGCTGTTGATTTTGCTGATTTCTGGGCTGGCATCTGCTGGAGGCCCTGCTCAGATGAGTGAAGCTGTCAAGGCAGAGCAGAGGAAGAGGTGGTCCTACAGATACAAGGGACCAAGGCCATGAAGGGCTTTGTATGTGATTGTCAATACCTTGAACTGAGCCCAGTAACTGTTGGGCAGCCAGTGAAGTGAATGTAGGATGGGAGTAATATGCATGCTGTGTCTAGCTCCTGATAATAACTGAGGCGTGGCATTCTGCAGTAACTGGAGTCTCCTAGGTAAAGTGCATTACAATGGTCTAGTCTTGATGTTACTGTGGCATGACCCAGATGGCCAGATCAGCCAGGTAGGGGGCTGTTTTCTGAGCTAGGCTGAGTTGGAAGAAAGCTCTTTTTTGTTGCTGCATTAACTTCTTTCTCCAACAGTAATGCTGAGTCCAGTATAACCCCTAGGATCTTAGCTGAGTCAGGAAGGGACAGTTGAACCCCATCAAAAGCGGGAAGCACAGTGTCCTGTAGTACACCAGTCTTTCCAACCACCATCACTTCTGACTTGTCTGAGCTCCATTTCAGTTTGTTTATTTCCATCCGTTTGACCACAGCAGTTAGGCATTGGCTCAAGGTCTCTACTGTCTCGCCAGGAGATTTGGATAAAGAGACACAGAACTGGGTGTCATCAGCACATTGATGACATCCAGTTCCAACGCTATACATGATTTCTCCTAAAGGCTTTACATAAAAGGGATAAGATTGTGCCCTGTGAAACCCCACAAGACAGCTCCCACACTGAGGATAGCTCATCTCCAATGGCAACCTTTTGAGTCCAGTCTGTGAGGAAGGATTCAAACTGGTCCAAGTCATATCCCCTGATACTTATTCTGCTTACAAATGTCTCAACAGGATGGCATGATTTACTGTACTGAAGACTGCAGATAGATCCTGTAGGAGCAACAAAGAGGCATGACCTTTGTCTACATTCAAACGGAGGTCATCAGA